TAGGACTCCCTTAAGTATTTCTTGTAGAGTTGGTCTGGTGATGATGAATTCCCTTAATTTCACGAAAAGACTTTATTTCTTCTTAATTTCTGAAGCATGGTTTTCCTAGATATAGGTTGGCAGTTTGTCTTTCCATTCTCTTCTGTCCTTTACAATTTCTACTTTGAAATCTGTTGGATATTTCCTTATATGTGACTTGATGCTTTCCCTTGCTGTTTTTTAAGATTCTGTCTTTGTTTTCAATATTTGACATTCTGACTGTACTACAGTATGTGACCATATAATTGTTCACAATACTTTCTTATGATCGTTTGTTTTGGCGAAGATTTGTCTGGGTTGAATTTAGTTAGGATCTTTTGAGCTTCTTCTATCTGGATATCCATATCTCTTTGAAAATTCAGGAAGTTTTTTAGCTATTAGTTTGTTAAACAGGTGTTGGGTGCTTTTTCTCATTTTTTTCACYTTTGGAATTCTTGTAATGCAAATATTTGTTTGCTTAGAATATTCCATAAGATTCATGGACTTTGTTCGTTTCTTTTGATCTTTCTTTCTTTTGTTTCACTGAGTTAATTCAGAAGAACTGTTGTCAGGTTCAAAAATTCTACTGCTTATTTCTCTGTTGTGGTTTTTCTTTTTTTTTATTTCACTGACATCTTTAATACCAAGATTTCTTATTGTTCCTTTCTTTTTATGATTTCTGTCTCTTTGGTGAATTTCTCCTTTATATCCTGAATTGTTTTTCCAATTTCTTTATATTGTCTTTATCTGTACACTTTTATGTCTCACTGTGTTTTCTTAGGATCATTATTTTTTATTTCTTTTCAGGCATTTTAYAGATTTTCTTCAAATTGGGACTTATTGMTGGAGAATTATTGTTTTCCCTTGAACATTTATTTTATGTTTCTTGTGTCTCTACATCAGTGTCTGAGCATCTGGTATGACAGTCTGTGTTATGGTTTGGATCTGGAATRTTCCCCAAGAGCTCCCGTGCTGAAGGCTTGGTCATCATTGCAGCAACATTCAGGAGTGGGACTTTGGGAAAGTGATTAGACCATAAAGGCTCTAACCTTGTAAATGGATTAATCGGCTGATGGATTTGTAGTTGCCTCCCTCAGTTTCATGGAATAGTTTCCACAGGAAACAGTTTTTGATTTGGATGGGCTGTAAGTGGACAGTTGGRTAGGTACTTTGGCTTTGATTATAAGTGAGCTCAAAAATGTAGTTTCTGTGTAATAACTTCATTTTTGATTAATGTTAGTMGTGTTTATGAGTGTCTCAGTAGTCTAGACTGTAGTGGCTTATGACTTTGCAGTAGACATAGRCTTCCAAATGTGTGTGTCTTCAGGCTCCACAAAGTCAAGCCCTGATGTCTCCAGGGCTTATGGTGACAAGTACCATGGTCTCCATGGTATAGGATGTGGAGAAGATTGTCTTCAGGCCCCTTGGAAAAGCACAAATGACATTAATGTTTGAGCACCAGCATTTATGGTTCTTGAGCCACAGGATATGAAGGAGACCTTACCTAGGATCTTGGGGAAGGAGATCCCCGGACCTATGACTCCACAGCCAGAGTTCTGGAGCCACAGGAATGGAATAGAACCTTCCCCWTGTCCCCTAGGATGAACACAGATAATGCTGGAGTCTCTGGCACTGGTAACCATTAGCTCTAGGTTGTGGGACACAAAGGGGACTTTCTAAGTCTCATGAGGTGATTAAGGTTGATGCTGGGTTTTGTAATACTATTAGCCACATTTATGGAGTTGTGGGACCTTTATGGTACCTTGGTCCCAAGGGACAAGTACAAGATGCCAGGGCTTTTTGCCAGCTATAGCTGTAATCCTAAGGCCATTAGCTGGGATGTAGACTCTGCATGTTCCCATGGGGTGAGTGGAGTGGTGCCCAGACATGGGACTACTGGTAGCCATGTTTCTGGAGCTRCAGGATGCTTCTTGGACCTTTCTCAGCTCCTGATACACAGAATAGGTGAAGCCAGGGCTTTGCACCAGGTAGCCCAGTCCCAAGACACTTGTGGCCCCTTTCCTAGTTTCTGTGGGGCAAATGCGGGCAGGACTTGGGCTTGTGGCTATAGCAGCCAGTGTCCCTGCAACTGCAGAATGCCAAGGGGACTGACTTCCTACCCTTTGAGGTGTTTAGAGACCCAGGGCTTTTGTAATWACCAGCCCCTAAGGCAAGATGGCATCTAGCAGTGTCTGCCCTARCAGCTTGGGTTCTGGGGATTGGGAGAGGCCCCAAACGAGTTCCTTCTGTRGAACATAGCAATTGCTCTTAAGCCAGTCAGCTCTCCAAACTGGATTTAAAGCCTTTGAAAACCATGGAATTCTCCTTCAGTTAGAGCTGCTGGTCTGCTGCTGTGATCAGAGTTGCTGGCACCTTCTTGCTCATCTTTTCTTGACAGTCTGGAGTCTGTGTCCCAAGCCCCCTAACATGRACTGGGATTTGTTCATTTGTCTTGGTTGCCTTTCCAACTCTGCATGCCATTTAGGGATCCCTTCACTTCCTTGCTGATTCCCAGAGTTCTCCTTCAGTCACTTTCCTAGAAATACCGCTTTCCTCTGTTGCCCTGGTTTTTTTCCTCTGTGCAGTTGTGTGCGGGGCACCTTCATTCAGCCATCTYAGATCCAAATGTTTTTAATATCATTCCTGGTTTCATAGTTTCGTCAGAATTGAAGCTAAAATTCATGWCAGTTGTTGATCTTGCTATTCTTCACAGCCAAGATTTAGGTAGACAGACAGACAGACAGAGATATAGATATATTACATGTTAAGCACTGCAAACTCCATAAATGTCATGGCAGTGACTGAATGTCTTTCCTATTTCAGTACTTAACATGGTACCAGGTGCTCATTAAATATTTGTTGAATTAAAGGGTTCAAAAGTTTTTTATAAAATTAGAAATTAAAATTTATGCTTTAATGTATGCTCTTTTGCTTTAAAAAAAAGAGCAGTGTGATTAGAAAGTAAAAGAAAGAAAGGAGGAATGATGTAAAGGATACTGCTCATGGCCTTCAATGCTTCTGTCTTTGCTAAATGGGCTTCAGACTCTAGAAGGTGGTTGAGTAATGTCCTTGGCCTGCTCTTTCTAAAAACAATTGTTTCTGATACCCTTAATCCTCTGCCACTGTGATGTACTTGCCTACACTGAACTGGAAGTCCTTATTTCCTTGCTCCCACCTTGTCATTTACAGCCCTTTCCCTGGAATCTCTGGTTTTCAAACCATGGAGTTACCTTTCAGTTCTCCCTGTCCCCGTTAATTCCTTTGTACCAAGTTACCAAAGCACATTTAATCTCTCCTCCACTTCTGTTTCCCCCACAGTCTGTTTTATTGCCTTGCAGCAGAAGGCAGTAGTCCTCCCAAGGCCAGCTCTCTGTCTCACTATTCTCTGCTTGGTCGCCAGCAAAATCATCCTTAAACCCTGATTTTATKGTGTCTTTTCCCCTACTTAATGCTCCAGTGATCAGATTGTCACTCTTTGACTTGACACTCTTAAGTGCTATCCTATTCTGTTTTATTGCCCCATCATTATTTGATCTAAGTTCCCCCACATTTTCATCTCTCTGAATTTCTTTATGCCTTCCTGTCTCTGTGGCTTRATTCATATTTTTCTTATTTGTCATGGGACAGATCAAACTTTTGTTCCTGAATCCTTGTATTAGTCAGCCTTCTGTAACTGAGGCAAATATAAAGAGAAAAAGGAGTTTGCTGGTGTGGTGGTACATGCCTGTAATTCCAGTGGCTTGGGAGGCTGAGGCAGAAGGATCACAAGTTCAAAGACAGCCTCAGCAACTTAGCAAGACGCTGTCTCAAAGTAAAAAGTAAAAAAGGGCTGGAGGTGTGGGTCAGTGGTTCAGTGCCCCCACATTCAATCCTTGGTATTRACAAAACAAAGAGAGAGAGTGAAAGGGTTTGGGGGCTCATGGTTTTAGGGTTTCTAGTCTAAGATCAAGCAGCCCTGTGGCTTTGGGCCGCTGATGAAGTAGCACAACATGGCAGGRGAAGGTAGCAGGGTAAATGACTCACCTTATCACTGGGGTCCCATCATCCCTTTGGAGGTGATATCCCCTGTGACCTAAGGACCTCCCACTAAACCCCAGCCCCTAAAGGTCCAAACACCTCCCAATACTGCCATCTGGTGACCAAACCTTGAACACAAAGGACATTAGGGCTCATTCAACATCAAACTATGGCAATCTTTTTGAGACCTCTTGAAGGAAGGAAGGAAGGAAGGAAGGAAGGAAGGGAAAGGAAGAAAAGAGGGAGGGAAAGAAAGGAAGGCAGGAAGGAGTACAGAATTAGCAAATGAAGGAGACTTTCTTTATCTATTTTGTGCTATTAAAACAGAATATCTGGGTTATTTATAATGGACAGAAACTCTGTCTGCTCCAGTTCTGGAGGCTGCCAACTGACTAGAGTCTTTCTGCATCAACATCACAGGGCAGAAGGTGAAAGGGAGGCAGACCTGATATCCTCACCAACTGACTGAAGAAAGGATCCTGTCTTAGACCACTTGATAGACCCATAGAGCCTTACATTTTAAATTTAGTGAATACTAAAGAAATACTGCTTATTAAATTATTACAAAAATAATCACATGTTTTTCAGGAGTTTCTAGCTTGACATTTTAAAAAATATTCATGAATACAAAGCTGCTGTGGGAATGCAAAGTACGTTTCAGTTATGTACTGGATAACATGATATAAATTAAATTTCTTTGTATAATATGTTCTGTTCTCTTTATATGGCAGGGCCTTATTTTTAGAGGTCAGTTCTTATAACAATCATGCATGATCTTTTCGATGTGCAGTAGATTTGAAACTTTTTTATCCTACGAAAGCATTTTTTATAAAACATGAAAATCTTCCCCTGGTTGATAATTATAGTAAATTAAGATTTATTTATTTCTGTTTTTACTGTTCTTTCGATTTTGGACTTGTTTGYGAGAAACTCACTTGTTTCCTGGGCCCGCTTTGCTGTTGCAGGACTCACCCAGGAAGGCCTTTTCAGAGTGAACGGGAACGTGAAGGTGGTGGACCGACTGCGGCAGCAGTTCGAGAGCGGGGCGCGCGTGGAGCTGCAGGAGTTGGGCGACGTGTGCGCAGCCGCCAGCTTGCTGAAGCTCTTCCTGCGCGAGCTGCCGGAGGGCGTCATCCCTTCTGCGCTGCACCCACGGTTCATCCAGCTCTTTAAGGGTTAGGACATTCTCTTAGGAGTTAAAACAACTTTATGTTTCAGTAAAAGCTATGCCTTTAAATATTTAAACTGCAAATATTAAAATAAGCTTTTGGATGTTTGTGGTCTTTCCATATGTCTATCTTGCTATTTGATGACAAGCCCTCATCTTCTATTGGACATACATGTAAACTGATTATGAAATGCAATTATTCAGTGGAATTTCTGGACTGTTAGCAAATGAATAGTTCAGTAACATAATATCAAAAAGCCCTGATGCTTTGGGGTCAAAGAAATTTTTTTCTGACTAGTAACTGCCATAGAAGAAATGAGAATAAGATGTCAAAATCTGTTTACAAAATATTAATGGATTACTGCTAGTGACCTTGGACATTGGAAGCTCACTGATGTACTTGTTTTTTCACATAAGCAAAAGTGAGTTCTAAGAAAATTGCATTTGTTTGGTGGAGCAAAAAGKGGGTTTTGATTGCACTGCAAAGTGATTCTTAAATAAAAGAACTACCCTAAGTATAACAATTATAGGCATAATCATTACCATATTTTCCCTCCTCTATACAATAAGAAAAATAATCTACCTTTGAAAAGCCATTTATTTCCTTATTTTTGCCCCATTMGAGTGGAAAGGGGAAAATGTACTTGTGAGAGTGTTAGTTGCCAGATTAAGAAGGATGCTACTTACATTCCTTTAAAGCAGTGGTATGACAGTTCAGGTGTAGCATACCAAAGGTTGGGATAAGTGAGAAGGCCAGGTAGCTGAATAGGAAGGTGCCAGAAACATTGCATCCCCTAGAGGACCATTTCAAATAATAGGAGCTATGATTTTGAAGAGTGACCCCAAAAGGTCCGTATGTAAAGGTTTGGTTCTCCAGGGTAGTGGTATTGGGAGGTGCTGTGTGGACCCTTAAGAAGTGAGGCTAAACCAAGGGGAGGGAGGAGGAGGAGAAAAGGCAGAAATAAAAACAAACAAATAGAAGATAGTATAATGAAAAAAAATATATATATGTATATATATGAATGAAGAAGCAAGGCCTRCTTGGGAATATGTCCTTGAAAGGGACAGTAGGACTCTGCTCTCTTCCTCCAGCTTTCTCTGSTTCTTGGCTTAAAATAAGAGTGCTTGCTATGCTGTACTCTCCTTCTTTAAAAAAAAAAAAAAATTATTTATTTATTTTTTACTCACAAAAGGTCACAATACCTTTATTTATTTATTTATTTTTATGTGGTGTTGAAGATCAGACCCAGTGCCTCACACATGCTAAATGGGTGCTCTGCCACTGAGCCGCGACCCTAGCCCTATTTTGTATTTTATTTAGAGTTAGGGTCTCACTGAGTTGCTTAGTTTTGTATTTTATTTAGAGTTAGGGTCTCACTGAGTTGCTTAGTGCCTCGCTGTTGCTGAGGCTGGCTTTGTATCTGTGATCCTCCTGTCTCAGCCTCCTGAGTTGTTGGGATTATAGGCATGCACCACCATACCTGGATTTGATGCATTCTCTTGCCATGATGTGCTACTCTTGTCAAAGGCCCAAACCGACGGGGCCACCCTACTGTGGACTTGAACTCTAAAACTATGAGCCAGAATGAACATCCCTTTAATCCATAAGGAGCCTGTGTCAGATAGTTCATTATAGTGATGGAAAGCTGACTAATACCTTAGGTGAAAGTGACCATTGAGCCGTCCAGCCAGTCACTAGGGAGGGAGGCACATCTTAGTTCCCCAACCTTCTAGTGTTGGAAATGCTTCCTTGCCTGGCCCCTTCACACCACTCCACAGCTCCTGGCTTCCAGTGGTGACCTTTAGGTAGTCCTCTTGGAAGGTTACCCATGTTCTCTCCTTTCCTTCCAAGTTCCGTTTGGTCCTCCAGAAACACACGCACATTTTTGCCAAGTTCTTGAAATGGAGGTCAGTTTGGTCCTAGGGCAGAGCCCTGCCTCTTTGTGCTGCCCCCTAGGGCACCCCTGGTCAGCCAGCTTCTCTGCCTCAGCCTCCTTCAGTTATCCCAGATTGTTTCAGGAGTTTGAATCTTCACACTTCCCAGGTGGTATTCTGATACCCCTCACTTGGCTGGGGAAAAGAAGAAGGAACATTKTATCTAACTACTCTCCTTTTAAATCACCACTCTCTAATCTTTAACTCCAGATTTTAAACTTGAGTTTCTGCTTAAATATCCTTGAGGTAGATGATGGCCCATGGCTTACCAGATCTGTTTTTGGTCTCACCTTAACAARTTCTATGTACCTGCTTAGAATAGGTAGGCCAATCACAATGTTTATTGTTAGCTTTGGGGACCTCAAACCAAGAGTGATCGCTTCAGTTTCTAGGTCTCYAATAACAAAATACCACAGACTGGGTGACTTCAGCATCAGAAATATATTTTCTCACAGTTCTGGAAGCTGGAAGTACAAGATCAAGATGCCTACAGGGTGGGTTTCTAGCAAGGTCTCTCTCCTTGGCTTTCAGTGGGCGGCGGCAGCTACCACCTCCCCCTCCTCCTTCTTCTTTGATATTCTTTTAAATTTTTTTTAAATTTATTTGCATATGACAGCAGAATGCATTTCAATTCATTGTACACAAATGGAGCACAACTTTTCATTTCTCTGGTTGAACATGATGTAGAGTTCCACCATATGTGTAGTCATACATGTACCTAGGATAATGATGTCCATCTCATTCCACCATTTTTCCTGCCAGTGGGCCACCTTTGCACTATAGCCTCACATGCCTTTCCTCTATGTGCTCGGTTTCCTGATGTTTCTTCTTCTTAAAAGGATATCTGTCAGTCTTACTACATCAGGGGCTTACTCTGATGACTTCACTTAACCTTCATTGCCTGTTTTAAAATTCCCAATCATAGTTTCATTCTGGAGTATTGAAGACCTTTAACATGAATTTGGGTAACACAGTTCAGTCCATAACAATAACACAACAGGAAAGATCCCATTTCTTAAATTATTTTGTTTGTAATCTTAGACACTTCGTGTTTTAAAAAATGACTATTTTTCTAAAAAAGGCATGATACAATCATATATGAAATTATTAAATACTATTGTATCCTATTGAAAATAGTGACAAAATATTAAAGTAAAAGTTATGGAACAATTTGTTCTGGTTTTCTACAGTGCTTTTAAACTTTCTCAGCAAGTGGCATTTGTTAAGTAACATGKGTTTACAACTTGTTAATTGGAAACTGAACGTTTTCATGTTTATACATATGAGCATTTCAAGGAAGTAACCATTGCTCCTGTTTGGAGACTTAAAATCATTCTTACAAGGGCTTTTTTATCCAGGTCACAGGGACAAGAAGTTTTAAGACCAAGTTTTGAAAATCATTTTTAAACAATTGATACAAAATGTTTAGTAATCAGATATCTTTAGTATTCTTAATATTATTCTGTAGTATTCTGTATTACTCTATATTCAAAAATCACATGAATTTCAAAAGCATTTATTACATTTCCTAGAATAGTTTTCATCTGATAAGCATACATTGCTTTAGTATTTTGGATATAATTTATAGTTATAATTTTTTTATAATGTAGATCTTCTCTGTAAGTTTCCTTCTTCTTAATTATATGGTTCCTAGGTGTCCAAACTGTAGTTTGTTTAGCCAGGTGCAGTGGCACACCTGTAATACAAGTGACTCTGGAGGCTCAAGCAGGAAGATCATAGGTGTGAGGTCAGTGTTGGCAACTTATTGAAACCCTGTCTCAACAATAAAAAGGCTGGGGATGGAGCGCAGTGGTTAGAGTGCCCCAGAATTCAAACCCTGGCACTGTTAAAAAAAAAAAATGTTGATTATGTATATAAAAACAAGTATAGGGATGAATTGAACTTTCTATCTSTTGAAGGAAGAAAACCATTTTAATTATAATCACACACACAGGAGTCCCACAAAATACAAGACTCAAAGAAGAGCCAGATGATTGAAGATTTTACTAGCCTCTTGATCTATAGAAAGGAACAGAGGCTGGGGTTAGGGAGTGGTTCTGGATTAGGGRTGTGACCCAGTTATAGGAGAATGAGAAGAGGAAGAGTATAGTGAATAAAGGTTGTCTTTTTATGCAGTCTCTGGTAATATAAGTTATGTGGGAAGGTAGAGGATCTTCTGTAAATTTCTTCTGATGGTGGGAGGACCTGTCTTTAGATATAGGAACTTGAGAGAGGGCAGCTGCTGCATTTTGTTGTGCCCCCAATTCTCTGGGTTTGCAGTAATCAGCCCTGCCAGAGCAACGTATTTCAAACGGATATTTCCTGAACTCCTTCACCATTAGGGTCACCTTACAAACAAGACTAGTTTGTGTCGTCTCCTTTAGGGTATGTGAGGTCCTTCCTACACAAGTAACACATTTTGAATGAGGCAGAGACATTACATTTTTGCTTTATAAATATTATTCTTTCCTTCCCTGAAAATCTGAGACATTCAATAAAGAATACTAATAATGCAATCTACTAAGTAGAGGGAAYAAAGCATGCCTCAGATGTCAGACAGCATAGGCCTTATAAAATAAACTCCCCTCTATAATAATTCCAGTAAAAAATAGATTAARWAAATAAATAAATAAAAAGAGTTGCTGTGCTCCTGCTGGTTTATCCTGATTGAGGTACTCTTTCAGTGGAGGGTAAATACTGCAGCAAGGTATACCTCATTCCCAACAGTAAATTGCCTGCTCTTTTGTTTTTTGTGATGTTCAGATTGAATCCAGGGCCTCACCCATGGTAGGCAAGTACGCTATCCCATAGAGGCACCCCGCCCGGCCCCCCCCCCCCCCCCCCCTTGCCTTCTGTTTTTAATGCCTACTAAAAGCATATGTTACACTTGGCGGTTATAGTATTCTCATTTCCCCTTTACACTTTTTTTTTTTTTTTTTTGATATGGCGTCTTACTGTGTTGTGCAGGCTAATGATCTTATGTGATCTTCCTGCCTCAGCATCTCCAACTGCTTGGACTACAGGCTTGCACCATCTCCATTTTCCTACTAAAATAAAATTGCTTTGACATAA